TTGCCAAATCATCTTCTAAAACAGCCACATCATTTATAGTCACAGCAGCAGTGCACAATTCAAATTTCCCACATCTTTGCCAACTCTTGTTTCATGTCTAGTCTGACTATAGCCTTGTAGTGGATAGTGGTGCATCTTTTTTTGTGCTGGAGATGACCCCGGGACCTCATGCAATGCTACCCAGGTGCTCTACTATAAAGTCATATTCCCAACCCTTCATTTTGGTTTTGGTGTTTTTTTCTGGTGGCTAATGGTGACAGACATTTTTCATGTGCGTATGTTTAATGACTATTTTCACGTGCACATTTTTGTTGAATATTTGTATATATCATTGGAGAAATGTCTTATTCAAATATCCTACCCATCTTTAACTGTGTTTTTTGACAATATTAATAACTGTAAAATAAAGTTTGCGAATGTTTTCTTCCATTCTGTAGGAAGACTCTTCTCAATTTCTTGATAGTGTTCTTTGAAGCAAACAAAATGAAATACACAAGCTAGTTTTTTTTTCTTTGTATAGTGTTGGAAATCAGACCCAGGGAATGAAAATCAAAGGCCCTTCCTCCGTGCTACCTCATACTCTCCTATATTTTCTTTCATTGCTTGTGCATTTAGTGTTATCTAAGAAATAATTTCTAACTGAAGGTTGCTTTCTTCAGAGGGTTTTATATTACATTTTCATCTGTCCTTTTTGAGTTTTTATTTTTCATAGGGTATGAGGTAGGAGTCATACTTCATTTCGTTTCACATGTACATCCAATTGTTTAAGCAGCTGTTTTATTATTTTTTTAGATTATTTATTTATTATGTATAGTGTCTGCCTACATGTATCCCTGCCCGCCAGAAGAGGGCACCAGATCTCATTACAGATGGTCATGAGCCATCATGTGGTGCTGGGAATTGAACTCAGGACCTCTGGAAGACCAGCTAGTGAGCACTGTTGTTTTTAATTAATTACTTTTCCTGCTGAGTTGTTTTGGTATCCTTGTCAAAGGTAACTGACCAGTTTAAGGGTTTGTTTCTGGTTCATTAATCTGTATGTCTTTCTTTTACTCAGAACCAGTTTTGATTACTGTTAGCTCCTCTGCATTTTTCTTTCTTAAGATTTGTTATCAGTATTTTAGAATCTTTGTGTTTTCCTAAAAATTATAGAATCAACTTGTCAATTTCAGTAAATGAGTATTGTGAATTTGAGTAGGGATTGCATTGAATCTAGAATATATTTGGGGTGCTGTCTTCACAATATGAGTTCTTAAGATTTGTTCTTCATTTATTCTAATAATGTTTTGGAGTTTTCTTATTTGTGATCATAATCATTATCATCATCATTGAGAACTAAACACAGGGGATAGATACAGAAGAGAGAGCTGAGCGGTGATAGAGGATGTGAGAACCGACTGGGCCCAATTGTTGACTCTTGTCTGGACTCTTACAGTTCTTCTCTGCTTCTGGGAGGGACTCTGCAGTGGGCAGTCAGTCCTAGTACCCTGCTGAGTCTTATTTTGGGCTTTGGATTACATTCTGTCTGTGACTAGAACAGTACTTAATAGGTAGTAGATTCTCAGATCTGGTCACATACCTCTGTGAATTCCTTCAGGGTACCAGTAGTTAATATTTGCCATGGTCCTGTACAGCTAGCTCTTGCCAATGTTCTGCAGGCTGCTTGGAGTCTGAACATTCCAATATAACTTTGGTTCCCACAGGTTTTCAGCTCACCAAATGCTGTTCAGCTCTGATTTGTGATTTCTTTTCTTGATTCTCACAGTGTTCTCTTTGCCAGGTTTCAGCATATAGTTCAGGGCTACATAGGTCTGAGTTTTCCTAGAATGTGATTTAGAGGGTTCTGGCTGCATAACTCCTTTTGAGATGGCATCTTGCTTCTGCTTTGTTGGTTGCCATTGCCTAGCACCCCAGTGCTAAAGGAAGAGGGATTTTCCCAGCTTCCCTGCTGTTGCTGCTCTGGGTATGTCTTTGTTTCTGCTGTTTTTCTGAGTTTCTGTTGCTTTTCTGATGACTGTTTTATCAATTTTGCTGAGATAATTCCCTGGAGATTGTACATCTGTACTAGAGTATGGCCTGCCATTTTTCTGTCCTAAATTATTTATTTTAAAGGATTTTTAAAATTTTATTTTATGCATATGACTATTTGTCTTTATATATGTAAACAACATGTGTACTTGGTGCCTGTGGAGGTCAGAAGCAGGTGTTAGATCTCCTGGAACTTCAGTGAGCTGCCATGTGGGTGCTAGGAATCAAACCTGGTTCCCCTGCAAGAACAATATGTGCTCTTAATTTCTATACTATCTTTTTGGTACTTTATCTAGCTTGTGTTTTACTTAGATTTTAAAAGTATTTTTGCATGAATATTGCCTAACTGTTGGATTTAGAGTATAAGTGTGAAAAGACTATTTCTGTTGTCACAGTTTGCTGTATACTCTTTCTTGTGTTTGATCTCAAATTGGACCAGAGCCTTAGCTTTTACAAAACTAGACACAAGAATTGAAAACCCACCACACTATTTAGTGTAATTTTTTCCTTAGAATTCTTTGGTTTTGCTTTTTTATATTTTGAAATAGTTGTACAAAACTGAGAGCTTCCTGGTTACAAAACAAAACAAAACAACTTATATAAAATATATTTATTATGGGAATCTTTCTGGAATAAGTACCCAGACACCAATGAGAGTGGAAGAGAAAAGATGCTACCATTGGACCGAAGCCAGGACACTTGAAAGGCATCAGTGCTAGATCTAGTTTGTATTTTCCTTTTATTCTCTAAAACCACAGATGGTGTAGGCAAGCATGCAGGACTTTACAGAAGTGTACCTGGCAGTCAGCAGGTTGTTAAGGGCAACGACCCATTGTTTCAGTTACTTCTCCAGGTCATTCTGTTCCTGGTAGCAAGTGAAGCCATGTTTGGCAAATAGGCAGTACAAGCAGTGTTTTAAGTAAATCACTAAATAAATAATAAATCATTATCTAATAATTAGTCTTTTCTACCTTACTTACTTTCCATTAGCCTTCTTTAATTTGTCATTCTTGTCTTTGCCTTTAATTGATGACTCAGTATAATTGTCTGGGTTAGGATCTAGATTGTATTTTTTATTTTATCCTTTGAATCATCTTTTAGATTATGTATGTGTGTGTACATGCATTTTAGGAAATACTTTGTAGATTGATTTTTTTTTTCCCTAAAGACGGGGCTAATGAAGGCAAAGAGCTAAAGCTTTCCTTCTTTCTTTCTTTCTTTTGGTTTTTCGAGACCGGGTTTCTCTGTGCAGCTTTGGAGCCTATCCTGGCACTCTCTCTGGAGACCAGGCTGGCCTCGAATTCACAGAGATCCTCCTGCCTCTGCCTCTCGAGTGCTGGGATTAAAGGCGTGCGCCACCAACACCCAGCTTCAAAGTGATAATTAAGATTTGCCGTTCCAGCACCAAAACTCTGGTCCTCTGAAAAAGTAACAAGTGCTCTTAACCACTGAGCCATCTCTCTAACTCTTTGTCCACCATTTCAGTGTATTCCCTGAAAGAGTGGTTTGTAGATAAGCCACCATATGTTGTATCCATCCTCATTGTTGTTGATTGTCTTAAGGAAATACTTTGCAATGTTTACTACTTTATTATTAGAAGCAGGTTATTTATGCTACATCTTTTTTTTTTTTTCTTGGTTTTTCGAGACAGGGTTTCTCTGTGGCTTTGGAGGCTGTCTTGAAACTAGCTCTTGTAGACCAAGCTGGACTCAAACTCACAGGGATCCGCCTGCCTCTGCCTCCCAAGTGCTGGATTAAAGGTGTGTGCCACCAACGCCTGGCTTTATGCTACATTTTATAGGCTAATAATTATACAACCATTTAAGGAAAGGTTGTTTTAAATGGCAGTTACTATTTAGTAGATGAAGGATAATTAAATTGCTGAATTTTTGAATTTTTTAACATAATTCTTTATTGACTCTTTGGGAATTTCACATCATGAAGCCCAACCCTGCTTACCTCCCAGCCCCTCTATATCTGCCCCTTAACCCTGCAGCATGCCCCCACAAAAAACCCCACAAAATTAATTAAAACAAACAAGCAAATAAAAAACACTTTGCTCCCCCATCTTTCCAGCACTTCTCCATTCATCCCAGTGGCATCAGGAGCTGCAGTGTGTCACACAGTACATACACCCTGGGTTGCAGCTGAGAGCCAGGAGAGGTTTGTGGTCCTACCACAGCCAGGGTCTTTGTTGATGTCCATGGCTCCTATTGTCACCAGGGGTTGTGCAGATGCCTGGGGTCTGGACAGCTACCTGAGACCATGTTGGTGTCGGAGGACATTGTTGCTGCCAGGACCATACTGATTTGGGTGACCTGTTCTGCCACCAGGCCATGGTGATATCTGAGCCCAAGCTGCTACCAAAGGCCGTGTCTAGGTCTGTGTCCCTGCCGCAGCTGGGGTCTGTGATGATGTCCATGGTCTGTGTTACCACAGAGAGTCATAGTAACCATGCATGCTGAAATCTGAGGGCCGTGCTGAGCCAGCACCACTCTTCACTGGCTCTAGGATAATTGGCCCTGCCCCTTCTTGGACACTGCAGCAGGAGAGATGGCCCTAGGCAGTAACCCAGACCCAGGTGTCACACTGGTCCCAGGAGAAAGCAGCCCATTCCTCTCAGCCCTTGCTTCTTGAGAACTGTCTTTTACCTGCACAGGAACCATTCTGCCTCTCTTTCTCTCCCATTTCACCACCATATACTTGCTCATTATATTAACATCCAAGGTGCTGAGTGGGCATGTGGATGGCTTCAGGCAGGCCAGATCAAGGACTCAGGCTGCCCTGTGGGTGCCTTTCACCCTCCAGAGCCTAATTTTTATTTTTATTTTTTGAAGATCTTCACCTTTAAAAAAATTCTCTGGGTAAAGACTAGTATGACCTGTTTCACTGGGTAGACAGTCTTGAGTAATCCATTCAAGGTTACTTAGTCCAACTATGTCCTTTGGATACTGACGGAAACACTGATGGCAATGGCCCATGTTCAGCCTGTATTTCCTGGTCAAACCTTGGTGGTTAGAACAGATGTGGCAAGATTGAGAACCCTGGATGACCTTCCCTGGGGGACTCCATTAGAGCTTTTGGTAACCCATCTTGCCTTCAGATGGCCAACAAGGAAAAAGGCCAAAGTTTTGATTTTCAACCAGGTTAATTTAGTAAACTTTCAGGGACACATTTAATTAATATTCAGGATTTAAAAGGAAAGCTGATGAGTCTGGAGAGATGGCTCAGTGGTTAAGAGCAGTGGCTGCACTTCTGGAGATACTGAGTTCAATTCCCAGCAATTAGATAGTGGCTCACATCCATCTGTATTGGGATCTGATGGCTTCTGGCATGTAGGCATACATATAAGTCTGGCAGTGGTGGTGCATGCCTTTAATCCCAGAAATCCTAAATCGCAGCACTCTGGAGGCAAAGGCAGGTGGATATCTGTGAGTTTGAGGCCAATTTAATCTACACAGCTAGGGCTGTTACACAGAGAAACCCTGTCTCAAAAAAAAAAAATTTTTTTATAATTTTGATTGTGAGCCTAGCCTTTAACGGCTGAGCCATCTCTCCAGCCTGCCCAGCTTTGTCTTCAAAAGACATCTATAAGTAACCAAATGCTAACTATTCCGTTGCAGATTTGGGGCACATGACTGCATACGGAAGGATGGGAAAGTGCTTTCTTTGCTATACGGTTAATCTCAAAGGACTTTACAGATTGGAGCCAGGCTAGATCAGTCTTGCACATTTTGCTGGTAGTTCAGCATCCTGTAACATTCTGAAGAATTCGAACTATCTTCCAGGATGAATTGAGCCCAGGTTGTCCTGATGGCTTGTCCAAAGGAGGAGTTCATTGCTGTATGCCACCAATCTCCAGCATTCAGAGGTTCTTTTAACAGTGAAATACTTGTTGGTTGGTTCAGAGATCTGGTGTCTGGCCTAGAGAGCACCAAGAACACCAAGAAACACTGCCAGGGAAATTAAGCATGTCTTCACTCAAGGCCGAACTGAAATGAGGTCTGAGGAAAGAGTGAACTGACTGCAAGTGGAAGGAATCAAAGTCTTCAAAGACAAAGATTTTGACTATTTGTAATGTGTCATCTTCATTTTAGTAATAAAATTGGTCTTTACCATTATAATTTTTTTAATATCCCCAAAAGTCGACAAAGCATTTCAAGACCTGAATCATTTTTTAAATTTATTTATTCTTTTAAATTTCATTTTACATTCCAACCACAGTTCTCCCTCCCACCCCTACTCCCACTCCCACTCCCACCCCCAGTTCCCCTCGGCCCACCCTCAGTCCACTCCTCCTCACAGGTAAGGGCTCCCATAAGTCATCAACAAAGTCTGGCACAATAGGTTGGGGCAGTGCCAGGCCCCTCTCCCATGCATTAAGGCTGAATATAGCATCCCACCATAGGGAATGGACTCCAACAAGCTAGCTCATGTACCAGGTTTGTATCTTGGACCTGTTGCCAGGGACTCCTCAGCTAGTTCAAGCTTCACAACTGTCTCCCACATATTGGGGGGGGGTGGCTTTTTCAGTCTCCTGGAGTCTCCACCGCTATCTGTCTAGAGTTCATGAGTTTCCATGAGCTTGGTTCAGCTGTCTCTGTAGATTTCTCCATCATGATCTTGACCTCCCTTACTCATATAATCCCTCTTCCCTCTCTTCGACTGGATTCCAAGAGCTCTTATATTTTGTCTATTTGTCCTTGTTTTTTCCTCTGCCATGTAAACTTTGTGAATTGACTAACAAACATTTTATCAGAGTTTTTGTTTGCTATTGTGGTTTTTTAAAAAAATAAATAAATAAATATAGAGGGGCTGGAGAGGTAGCTCAATAGTTACAGACAAGTTCTACACTTTTTTAAAAGTTTTTCTTTTTAAATTATTTTTACTATTCCAACCTCATTTCCCTCTCCCTCCCCTTCTCCTGCCTCCTGCAAGTACTACTCTTTCAGCAGACCAGAGTTCAGTTCCTAGCTAGCGCCCACATCAGGTGACTCATAATCACCTACCACTCCAGCACCAAAGAATTCAGTGCCCTCTTGTGGCTCCATAGACAGCTGCACTCATGCCCATGCCCATACACAGATATCCAGCATACTCATTATTTAAGGTAAAAGTAAATCTTAAAATAAAGTTAAAACAAAACAAAGAAGCTTATTTTTGATAGGTCCCCCTTTCCTGCTTAGTCAAGGTCTAGCTATATAGCCCCAAGACTGGCCTCCACTTTGTAACCCTCCCATCTGAAACTCCACTGGAATTTCAGGAGTGCATCACTATGCCTGGCTTCAGTACTTGTTTATTAGCCTTACCCAAGTGTGCAACTTCCAGGCTTTGTTCATAGCCATATGGGAAGGAAATTGAGGGACAATATCTCAGCTCATGATATGTTGGGAAGTCTTGGGTTGAGTCACATTTGCTTTTGAGTTTTTGCTCTGTTTTGTTATTCTCATTTTCTTGTTTCTCTTGGGACATTGTACTTTTAAGCATTTCAGAAAATTTAGATATGACTATAATGTATTCTGTTCTTGTTTCATAGTCTTTCAGTGTATTCAAAAGGAAAATGTTTTTCTTGATCACAGTTGTCTAAAATTTTTATTCATATTCTATAAATATATTTTTATTCTGTGAATACTTTTTGTATGTTTTACTCAGGTAATAGGTGGTTTTTATAATGGAGACTGTGCAGTGTAGCTGCTCAGAACATGGACAGCAGCTGCAGTTCATTAAACTTTGAAAGTAATTTTGTGTTTTGAATTCCTATAAATGGTCTTTTCATTTCATTTTCACAATCTAACTTTCTATTGTGCATATAACAGTATGTTTTGTTTGTATGCTGTACTGACAAATTCTTGAGAGCAGTATGTATTTTGAGTTTTATAGTCCTCAAATGCTCATTTACAAAGCCTGTTGTTAAATTATTTATTTACTGAATTATCATGAATTCTTTTTACAAATAGTTCTTTAATTGTTAGAGGAGATATTAGAAAAGCGGAAGCCATGAATTTAAAATAGATCTTATTTTAAAGATTTATTTATTTACATACATACATACATTTTATGTATATGCGTGTTTTGTCTGCATGTACATCTACACACCAGAATAGGGCATCCGATCCCGTGGGACTACAGTTATAGGTAGTTGTGAGCTACCATGTAGATGCTGGGAATTGAAGGACCTCTAGAAGAGCAGCCATGAGCAGTCTCCGTCTCCATCCCCCAAAATAGATCTTTGAGGTAGTGTCTGTCTTGACAGGGTCTCACTATGCTTCTTAAGGTAGCCTTGATGTCCTGATCCTCCTGTTTCAGCCTTCAGAGTAGCTGGGATCACAACTGTGTGCCACTGTACTCAGTTTTGACATTGGTTGCTTTTAAAAAATGAAGACTATGGTAACTTGACCAATTTTTTTAAAACTAAAACTGAAATATGTAAAGGTGAAAATTACAAAAAAGAAACAGTTATATAAATGTTTGTTCTGTATATTTGAAAATCATAATTTCAGGTACAGATCTTTGACCTTGAAGGAAATTTGACACTATGAATATTTGCTAATCACCATTTAACTTTGATGGGATAGTTATTAAGAACTGTTTTTTGTTGTTGTTGTTTTTCAGAGAATGCAGAATCTATTGACCTTAAGCAGTTCTTTGACCAACATTTTTCACATATATACTATGTGTTTTTTGAAAATTTTGTGACTATTGAAGCTAGTCTTAAACAGAAAGGTAAGATATTAACATATATTCTGGCTTATGTTTATTTTTCTAATAGTCATAAGCATTCACTTAAAAAGAGTATCTGGGGCTGGGCAGTGGTGGCATACGCCTTTAATCCCAGCACTTGGGAGGCAGAGGCAAGCGGATCTCTGTGAGTTTGAGACCAGCCTGGTCTACAAGAGCTAGTTCCAGGACAGCCTCCAAAGCCACAGAGAAACCCTGTCTCGAAAAAAACAAAACAAAACAAAAGCGTATCTGGGCATTAGAATTTTAGTAATGTTTTATTTTGAAACCCTTCTAGCACTATCATCAGATGTATTTGAAAGGAAACTAACAGACTCATATGGCTATCCTTGTTTTGTGAAGGCTTAGAAAATTTGCGTTTTCCTAGTCAGGTTTTTTTCAACCTACCTTCTTTGTTCTGCTCTAGGAATGTTTGAATAGCAAGAAGAATGGTGCTTTTCATGTTCAAAGTTCATTTTGAACCCCCCATAGAGGTGATTTGTTATTAGATATTAGTATAACTTAAATTTTTGTGTTTATCCTGGGGATTGAATCTAGGCCTTATACATGTTAAGTGTGGGCTTCCCAACCCCCAGATCTAGAAACCAAATTTAGAGTAATTATGCTAAAGAGTAGAAAGAAGAGCTATACTGTCTGTATAATTAATGGATGGGCCATGTTTTAGCATTTTCCTAAAGAGTCATTGAATAAAAGCCCAGGGATTGAAATATTTACAATCATTAAGTAGTTATTAACAGTGAGTATAAAATGATATATTTAAAATATTTTTCTGTTAAAAATATTTCAGGCCACAAGTCTCAAAGAGAGGAATTGGATGCTATACTTTTTATTTTTGAGGTAAGTGCTATGAATCATACTTTTTAAACTTTTTCAAAAACAATTCTGGGAAAGTATGAAGAAGTACATTAAATTTATTAGATATATAATGAGGCATAACCTGCCAGCCTTTTGTAGAACGTAATTTGTAACTTAAAAATGTATCTGTCTGAGTTTGTATATCTTTGAGGTACAGTATATTTTTAGGGACAAAATTATACTTTTGACAACACAAAATTAATTTGATAGCACATTCACAAGATGAAAATTTTAATTTTTATAAAATTTACACAGAATTTTTTAAACCTCTAGAACCTTGGTTATTACATATGCCTAGAAGATTTGTCATTTATTTATTTATTTGTCTTGCTTTTGTTTTTTTCAAGACAGGTCTCTGTAGGTGGAGTTTCTCTGTTTCTCAGAAGCTGCTCCCTAAATAACCATACAGAGACACACTATTAATTATAAATGCTCAGTCGATAGCTTAGGCTTGTTACTAACTAGCTCTTATAACTTAAATTAACCATTTTTATTAATCTATATGCTTCTCCAAGGCTTATTTACCTCATCTATGAACTTCCAATGCTTCAGTGTCTGTCTTGAGACTCCTCCGACTCTACCCTTCTTCTTCCCAGCATTCTCTCTGCCCTGAAAATCCTGCCTAGCTATGGGCCAATTGGCTTTTTATTAACATTTCTCAATTAACAATGAGAGAAACACATTTTCACAGTGTACAGAAAGATTATTCCACATATTCCCTCCTTTTTGTCTAAATAAAAAAAGAAAGCTTCAACTTTTAACATAGTAAAATTATATACAACAAAACAGTTATCAAGTAAGAATTACAGTTACAATATCCAGTCTATTCTGTATTTGGCAAAAATTAGAGAAAATATTCTATTATTTATCTTATCTTTCTGAGTTTAACGTTTATATATAATTCACCTTTTATTGTAACTAAGGAAAACTTTAAGTCTAATTGTTTAGTCTTTAACTCCCTCAAAGACCCCTGAAGGGTGTAATATTGCCTAACAAGAGGGACATCTGGTTGCTTAGACAGCCAACCAAAATTCTGCAACGCTGCAGCATCCACCTTTTATCTACCAGCCTAGTAAATCTGTCAGACATTTTTGAGTCACAGGAATTTTGAAGGACTGACCTTCCTTGTCTTGACAAAGCTTGGCAGTCACTTTGTTTTTTGCATCCTGCTGGTCCAGTTTGGACAGTATACTGTCAGCAATTGAGGCAAAGGCAGTTTCTTTGCCCAAATGACTAAATTTTGCCCCAAAGAAAACCAACTCCATATGGAGTTTCTTCAGTGCCAGTCATCTTCTCTGAAGTAGATTGGTGCTGCCAGGAGCACATGTGTCTCACTGTCATGAAAAGCCTTCAGTTATTAAACATATTAAATGGCATATTCTGTGGTCTTTGAAGTGTTTGAAGACCATGTATCTATCTAAATATATCTGTTTAACCTTGAAAACAAACCTGTTGTAATTTTTAAAAAGCAGCTCAAGAAAGAAAGACACCATGTGAGGATTGCTTTTATTAATGGAAAAGGATTGTAAGAAGGGAAAGGGGAGGGGAGAGACCAGCCTCCGGGAACAGGAGCAGTGGGAGAGAGAAAAAAGAAGCAGAGAGAGGAGGGGGAACAGAGAGAGGATGAGAAAGAAAGAGGGATGAGAGGTGGGCAAGGCCCCTTTAAAAGGGAACGCAGTGTGTAGGCACAGATGTTGCTCTTAGTGGCAGCAGCTGAGGGCGTATCCTGTCAGAACTCCAAAGGCAGGCAAGTACAAATGCCTAAATACTAGCAATACTTAATGTGACTATATGTTTGACTATTATAGATGACTATTAATCTGTATTTTTTTATTGACACAATACATTTTTAAGTGAACTGCATAAACACAATACCCCAAACAAGAGTAGAAACATATAGTGTAACAAAATTAACTTTAGCTGGGCGGTAGTGGCTCATGCCTTTAGTCCCAGCACTTGGGAGGCAGAAGCAGTCAGATCTCTGAGTTTGAGGCCAGCCTGGTCTACAAAGCTGCACAAAGAAACCCTGTCTTGAAATAACTAAAAAAGAAAACAACAAAATTAACTCCAAATTTGTATCAGTATACCCAGATCTATAACAATGTGAAATATGAGATTAATAGTTTTTAAATTAAAGTAGAATCAGTAGTCTACCATTTACCCTATCATTCCTATTTCATATCTCCCCCTTTTCCTTTAGAAATAGATCTTTGAATTTAACTCTTTTGTATAGCATTTATTTTTACAATGACCAAAAGCAACTTGTAACCAACCTGCCTAATCAGTAACAAACATTTATAATGTAGTAAATAACCAAAACACACCCACACTCCATCTTTAGGGAATGTGAGCTCCATTCTGCTCCCTGTTGTCTATGGGTGTATCTTTGGGAGAACCTTGAGGAAGTCAGGATAATTTGTTAAGTCTTGGCTAGAGTATTCTGTGAGGCTGAACCATCTCAGCCAGCAGCCTTGAAGTTGTTCTGGATGCTGGATCACGTGGGCCATCCATTTTTATTGGTGTCTGGTCCCCTTGTTCTGAAAATACATAAACTTTTAAAGATAGCATACATACCTGTATTAGTACAAGTATAGACTGTACATAAACCTTTTTTTTTTTTTTTGGCTTTTCAAGACAGGGTTTCTCTGTGGCTTTGGAGGATGTCGTAGAACTAGCTCTGGTAGACCAGGTTGGTCTTGAGCTCACAGATATCCGCCAGCCTCTGCCTCCCTTACTGGGACTAAAGGCGTGTACCACCACTGCCCGGCTGTACATTAACTTTTAAAGCTAACATATATATCTGTATTAATACAAGTGTAGACTGCTCATTGTACACAAAGATTTTTTTTTTTTTTTTTTTTTTTTTTGGTTTTTGGAAAAAGGGTTTCTTTTTGTAGCTGTGGAGCCTATCCTGGCCCTCGCTCTGGAGACCAGGCTGGCCTTGAACTCATAGAGATGCTCCTGCCTCTGCAGACCAGGCTGGTCTCGAACTTACAGAGATCTGCCTGCCTCTGCCTCCCAAGTGGTGGGATTAAAGGCGTGCACCATCAACACCTGGCTCAAAGATGATTTTTTATGTTTGAGCAGGTAAAATATATATCACATGTCTTGTAGTTCTTCTACATTTATTTCTTTATGTCTGTAGCCAGGATTTTCAGGGCATCTTCGATGATCAATCCTGGAATGACTCCACAGCCTCTCATTTCCTGTAGAAATAAAAACATAACCTTTCTGTCAAACAATTACCTTTTGACTTCCATTTTGAAGTCAAGATAGTTTTAAAATATACAGATTGGTTTAATCAAGCTTCTTTCATAGTTAAATGTCTCTTAGCAGCTATTGTCCCTTTATCAGCTGTCAAAAAAATTAAAGGCAGCACAATAATATACAGACTCTCTGTGTATTTCCCATCTTTAAGTGGCGCACATATAAATAAAACGCTCCTTTTAAAGGACTATTATTTTAAAACTATTTTTTAATCTATGACTGTGTATACTTTTTCTCTTCTCTTTCCCATGCCTATGTACATTTTAAACACACTGTAACCTATGGAGGTTTTTTTCTGTCTGGATCTATCTTTACCATGTATCTGTAATCTTTTCTGTCTGTATGAGCAAAATTTAAACCTGACATGTGGCATAGTTCATGTTGTTGTGTTGGTGGAGTTCATGCTGGTGGAGCTCATGCTGGTGGCTCAAGCCTGCAGGCAGCGGCTAAGAGACATGCCTCTGTACCACAGCTGGCGTGAGACAGGAGACTAGGAAGCCATGTTTGGCTCTGTTTTTGTGTGTTTAGAACTTTTTTTTTAAAGTTTTCTCAGGTCTTATGTGAATGTAGGTGCCAGACATTTGGACACCATTTGTAGGCATAGTTTCTGCTATGTCCCGGCAGCAGCTCCCCAAATAACCATACAGAGACTTAATACTAATTATACATGCTTGGCCATAGCTTAGGCTTGTTGCTAACTAGCTCTTATAACTTAAATTAACCAGTTTTTATTAGTCTGTGTGCTGCCCTGAGGCTTGCTTATTTCATCTATAAACTTCCCATGTTGCTTCTTCCAAGTCTGGCTTGAGACTCCTCAGACTCTACCCTTCTTCTTCCCAGCATTCTCTCTGCCCCCAAATGCCTAGTTATTAACCAATCAACTTTTTATTAACAATGAGAGCAGCACATTTTCACAGTGTACAAAAGGATCATTCCACAGCAGGTCTCGCTATTAATTTTTCTTTCCCAATATTTCTTTAATATTGCTTATTACTTTCTCGGTGGGAAAGTAATACTAGTTTGTATTTGGTACACTTTTTAACATGAGAAACTCTTAATGTGGCCCTCTAATATTCCATACTTTACAACATATTGACTCATTATTTGATTTCACTCATTCTTTTGCTTATATTGATTTTTAGAAAATTTTACAACTTCTTCCAGAAAGAATTCATCAGCGATGGCAGTTTCATAGTATTGGTAAGTAATATAAATATATATTTCACATCTGAAATAAACTATACAATGATTTATCAGTTATTTTTAATGAGTTCATTGTTGGTTTTACTGAAAACAGAATTTAAGAGGCTATAGAGTTGACTCATTAGATAAAGTGCTTGCTGGGTAAATGGCACTCTGAGTGCTGATCCCCAGCACCTAGATCTAAAAAGCTGACGGTGGTCACATGCATACCAGTAACCCCAGTGGGGCAAGGTTTGAAGACAGATACCAAGCCTCTCTCTGACCTACCAGTCTAGCTAAAAACACAGATTCCAGGTTCAGTGAGAGAGACCCTATCTCAAAACATTAGGTGGAAAGCACCAGTATTAACCCATGGCTTCCACTTTTCATACACATATGCATGTGTACATGTACATACATAAGTTCAGGAGCAAGCTGGCTGTAATTCCACAGGTCTCTAATCCCAGCTACCTAGGATGCCAAGGCCTGGGGATCACAAATTTGGGGCCTGCCTGGGCAAGCAAGACCCCATCTAAAAATGAAAGCATGAAAAACCAGCTGGGTATATAATTCAGTGGTGGAGTGCTTGCTTAGAATGTATAAGATTCTAAATTTGATACTCAGTACTATAGAGAGGAAAATACAAGGGCAGATTGGGAATCTAAGACTAAAATTTAAATGAAGGGCCTAGGGTCAGTGGTAGATCTTATGGTTTACATGTGAGGTCCTGTGTTCAATTTCCAGTAAACACACAAACCCAAGGCAGAACAGACAAGTTGAGGAAGATGAGAGAGGGGAAGAGAAAATCTATATATGTATGTATGTTGATTTGGCTCGCAATATTTTTTTCATCTATCTCTTCCTTTACTCTGATGCATTAGCAGTGATGATAATTTTTTTAAAAAATAGAGGTAGGCTTAGACTCCAGATGAGTATCTTCATGAATCAGAAATAAGAGAGAGATGCAAATGCCAAAAAGAAGAATCCACAAAGCTATGACTTTTAGATTTTCTGTTTGTTTTTGTGATAGGGTCTCTCACATTATAGTCCAAGTTGGCCTTGAACTCATTATGTAGCATGAGTTGCCCCTCAACTGTGCTCACTGTGCATCGGTCTTCCTGCTTCACCGTTTGAGTACTGAAGTAATTTTGGGACAAATTCTCACTTATGTAGCCTAGGCAAGCCTTGAATTCCTGATTTTCTTGCCTCTGCCTCCAGTGTTTTGGGATTACAGACATATACTCCATATATGATCATGCTTCAGATTTGAAAACAAAGCAGGGGGACTAGAGTTGAGCTCACTGTTGCTTCAAGGACTCTTCAAATATGGCTCTCTAGCTCATGAAACAAAAGCTGAAGATAAGAAAGACAAAGAAAAGAGTATGTTGCAAATTACTGTCAAAGACCAAATAAGAGAAAACAGATTTTGAGTTTATCAGGAAATAAGCTGAAACAATGAAGTCGAGCTTTGCTACATTCAAATTATAACCACACGGCTTTTGAGCTGTTATTATAAGGGTTATTTCCAACCCCCCTGGTTATTAAGAAAGGGGTCAGCAAGTAAGTAGTCAGCCCTGATTGCTAGACTTTCTCATGCCCTCTGACATAGGGAGTATATGACATAGGGAGTATATGACATAGGGAGTATAGCTACATTGTTGAGCCTGAATGCAATTAACTTCATATTTACGAAGAAATTTGTATTTGTATTTGGAAAGAGAGTCACAGGGTCTAGGGAGATGGCTCAGTGGCTCAGTATGCTTGCTGCTTTTACAGAGGACCTGAATTCATCCAGCACCCATAACAGATAGTTTACAATTGACTATGCTTCCAGCTCCAGTGACTCCGATGCCCTCTTTTGGCTTCAAAGGGCACCTGAACTCATATGCACACATTTCCACTTAGACACATACTTATAACTAAAAATAAAAACATGTTTTAAAAAATTAGGTATATGTGTATGTGCTTTCTTGGTTCTATGTGCACCACGTACGTACAAAGTGCCCTTGGATGCCAGAAGAAAGGAAAATCATAGGTCTATTTAGGTCAAAACCCTAGACAAAAATGAACTTTGAGGATTGGCCTGGAGCTTTAGCTCAACAGTAGGTTATATGCCTAGCATGCAAGTAGCCATGGGTTAGATCTCAGAACTGCCCCCCAAGAAATTAAAAATGATTTTTACATAACAGCATACTATATTCAAAAGACAAGTTTTGAATGGTGCCCAAATATTTTAATAAACATAACACAAAAAGATATTAATTGCTAGTGAGCACATAATAAAGTACTCAAAAGAATAGTGAACTTTTTGAATTTCATGATCATGAAAATGTTCTTTAAGATTGTCTTTGTAAAACTTTGAGACATCTGAACTTTTAATGTATTTATCAATTTCTATATAATATTAAACTTTATTGTTGTATTTATTTACTGTTTTATTATTTTTTTTCCTTAGAGGCAGGGTTTCTCTGTGTAGTCCTGGCTGTCCTGGAACCAGCTCTGTAGACCAGGCTGACCTTGAACTCACAGAGATCCACTTGTCTGCTTTGTGAATGCTGGGATCAAAGGCATGCGCCACCACTGCCTGGCTAGATGTACTGTATTTCTTGACGACTGTCAAGCCTTTAATCATCAAAAGATATTTATGTTACCTAGTTGTCATGATTAATAGTATTCCAAATTATGTAGAACTTGTAAAAATTCATAAATGGTGGTTTTTCTTTGTCATTCAGGTGATTTTTTACAAGTTGTTGGCTTTTATGAATTGTTAGTGGCTATAGTTGATTTAAAAAAATAACCTCATTAAGAGATACAATTTGCATAGATAAAATTTATTCTTTGAAGTAAAATTCAATGTTTTTTAGAAAATAGTCCTCATTGTCCAGTTTTAGGATACTTCTATCCTTTTCACATAATCTTTGAAGTCATTTGTTCTTATAATGACAGCTTCAAGAATGGTGTGAACTCCAGGCCAGCCTGGCCCAAAATCCAAAATTTAAAAAAAAAAAGAAAAAAGAAAAACCTCTCACAAGCTTTTGAAAGAAATATTTGATTTATCTTTGTAATAGCAAAGTCAAGGTTTTCTTTATACATAGAAAGTATACCTAAAAATAAAAGTGTTGATCATATTGACATCTACACACACACAAATGCACACATACAGATACATGCTTTTTGCTTTTTTGATGTAATCTCATAAAGCCTATGCTGTCCTCTTAATTGCTGTGCAGCTGAGACTGGCCTTGAACTCCTTCCTAATTCTTCTATCTCTATCTACTTAGTGTTGGGATTAACGCCATGAAACACCACACCGGGTCTAAAATTTAAGACATTTGTTGCGTGTGAAAGAATACTACTTCCTCCAACAAAAACATAACTTACTTGTTTGAGAAAAGATAGCTCTAGGTTATAGAGCTGACAGAAAATAAGGAGGCAGTATATATAAAGAAGTCTTAATATGAATCAAAAACAAAAACTTAGGGCTGCAGAGATTGATCAGTGGATGAGAGGATGTGGTGCTCTTCTGGAGACCTGAGTTCAATTCCCAGCACCTACAGAACAGCTCACAGCAGCTTGTGACTCCAAGGGAATCTGATGTCCTCTTCTGGCTGCCAACAGCACCTGCACGCATGGCATTCACACACACACACACACACACACACACACACACACATAAATAAAAATAATATAGATCATTAAATTACAAAATTTTGAAAAAGACATGATAAACAATTGAATAAAATTATAAAATTTGAATGCACAAAAAGACATTCATTGTGACTAGAAAACATCAAATGGAAACATTAAAACTTAACACTAATTAGATTATCAAATTTTAGACTTTGTTATTGGATCATGCTGCAGTCACTTATCAGAGCACTATTATACACTAATGCCGAGCGCAATATGGAGTCAGAACTGATCACAAATAGTTTATTAAGAAAGTACTCACATGGGCCGGGCGTTGGTGGTGCACGCCTTTAATCCCAGCACTCAGGAAGCAGAGGCAGAGGATCTCTGTGAGTTCGAGACCAGCCTAGTCTACAAGAGCTAGTTCCAGGACAGCCTCCAAAGCCACAGAGAAACCCTGTCTCGGGAAAAAAACAAAAAAACAAAAAAAGTATTCACACAATGGAGCCAGTGACCAGGTTTATAGCAGATGCCTGCTCATTCATTCAGCCAGGCGGGAGAGGGAAAAAGCGGGCCTCATGCTTGCCTCTGATAATTAAACCTTGCTCCGTCACTCTGACCATACCCAAGTTGGCGTGGTCAGCATTTCCCCTTACAATACACTGCTTGGTATTGTTAATTATCATTATATTTTAAAATTTCTTAATATTTGGTAAAGCTGAAGGTGAGTGATTCTTTGCAATTTATATATCCTAAGAAAAGTCTTATGTGTAACAGGCAATCATGAATAATAGCATTTATTATTCTTGATAGTGGCAAAAATTTAGAAGTAAGCCATATGTTTTCATATAAATATACATTTTTGGTATATTTGTATAATGATGAAGTATTAAAGTAGTTAAAAATGAATTATCTAGAGCTACATAGACCAGTGTAGATAAATTTGAAAAGCTAATATTAGATATGAAAATCAGTAACTTATAAATTAATTGCTGTATATAATACCCTTTATATAAGGTTTTAAACAGTTGATGCTGCCAGGAGATGGTGGTTCACGCCTTTAATCCCAGCACTCAGGAGGCAGAGGCAGGTGGATCGCTATGAATTTGAGGCCTGCCTGGTCTATAAAGCGAGTTCCCGGACAGCCAGAACTAAACAGAGAAACCCTGTATCAAAAAAGATAAAAAAAAATTTTTGTAAGTGATAATTCCAAAATGTATGTAATGTTTTCCTCTAGAGAAGAAGAAAATTATTTAAGCTTCAATGTGCCATTGTATGGTTAAGTAAAACAAAGACAAATGTTTAAATCGTAGCAAACATAATACTGTATTTAGATTGGTTCACAGTGAATGGTGCACTTCTGGATGATAGCGTAATGAAAACAATTATTAGGAAATAGTAGAATTAATTAATGATTGTTCTTTTGGTTAAATAAATCTTCTTACAATAGTTTTTTTTTGTACTAGTGTTAAATATTTTCTTTATACTTTCATGGTAAATAAGAGATTTGTTGTGTTAATCACAATTTTGGGACCAAATTTTGTCAATAAAGTAAATCTTAACTGTGTTGAGAGGTGACTTTTTATATGCTCTCTGACCTCAGTTTTGATCAAAGGGTTACCAAAGTCACCAAGAACAATTTAGAGATTGCCAAGGACTTGTTTAAAAAGTGTTTCCAAGTCTGACCGAGAACTCTGACACTTATAAATAGATAAGAAGATAGGAATATTTAAAATCATGTTTTTCTTTTCAGGGCTGATTTTAAAGAAACTACTTCACACGGGAAACTCCTTAAAGGTATAATATAATTATATTTATTTTCTATGACTTAAAAAAAAAACCCTGAGTAAAGGGCTGGGGTGGCTGAGAGTGTTTGCTAAACATACACAGGGCCCTGAGTTGTCACACTGCATAAAGTGGGTGTAACAACGCCCTTCTTGAATCCCAGCACTGGTGGAAGCAGGAGGACCAGGAGTTCAAGGTCATCTCCAACTATACAACCAGTTTGAGGCCTGCTGGGTCTGCTCTGAGACCCTGTCCAGACAAATCAACACACAAAACCAGCAAAGCATACATACCACTTTGACTCTCCCACCTTGTCTTTTTCCTGAAGTCTGTTCAATTGATTGTCTAATTCATTTGAGAAAAGCCACTTGGAAGAATTCAGTGCCTGTTAAGAGGGTGAATTTTCCTTTTTCTGTTTTCTGTTCCGTTTCTGAGAGAGCATTCATTTATTGGTTCTAGTGTTTGTAGTCTTTCCTGTATGGGGATTAGTTTAGGTCATTCAGCACAGTGGTTATTCCAGAGTTCCAGATTTGTAGCTAGGACACAAATAAATAGTAAATGAGATCATTTCAGAGTGCTTTTAAGTAATTTTTAAAATAGTTGTTTAAATTAAGTTACTTTTATAATTTGAATCAGAACTTTTTAGGGAAGAGAGCATGGATTAGTTCACTGGCATTCCTGTGATCATTCCTACTTCACTAAACCCATTTGTCCTGTCACTTTTTTCTTTTTGGATTAGATTGGTAGTGTTGGGTGGTAGGAAAGAAGGAGATAAGGAAATAGTTTTCTGGAGGGAGCCCATATGGGCTTAACAAGAAACCTGGCACTAGGGAAATCTCCAGGGATCCACAAAGGATGACCCTAAGAATCTAAACAACAGTGGAGAGGCTACCTTAAATGCCATCATAGAGCCTTCATCCAGTAGCTGATGGAAGCAGAAGCAGAGACCCACAGCTAAACACTGAGCCCAACTCCTGGAATCCAGTTGCAGAGAGGGAGGAGTGATGAGCAAAGGGGTCAAGACCATGCTGGGGAAACCCACAGAAACAGCTGACCTGAACAAGTGGGAGCTCACAGACCCCAGTCTGACAGCTGGGGAACGAGCATAGGATTGAACCAGGTCCCCTGAATATGGGGGCTTATGGGGCCTCTGGCAGTGGAACCAAGGTTTATTCCTAGTGTGCAAATGGACTTTGGGAACCCATCCCCTATGGAGGGATACTCTCTCAGCCTAGATACAGAGGGGAGGGCCTAAGCCCTGCCCAAATGATGTGACAGACTTTGATGATCCCCCATGGGAGGCCTCACCCTCCCTGGGGAGTGGATGGGCGTGAGATGGGGGGGTCAGTCGGGGGCTTGGGAGGATGGGAGGGAGAAGGAACTGGGATTGGTATGTAAAATAAGATTGCTTTTAATTTAAATAAAAATTAATTTAAAAATTACTACATTAAGTAGTTTATTCTTAGGATTTCATCAAACATGGTTGCTTTTCCTCCCAAGTGCTGTGGATTGAACCCAGTACCTTGCATATGCTCCCACTGAGAAATATCCTTAACCCAAGTTTATTCTTAAGAATCTATGAATGTAGATTTCAAAATAGTGGGAGTTGTATAGATATCCTGGGTGTATCTGACTTCACTCTCCATCTTGTGTTTCTTTTTCTTCAACAAAATATCGTTCTAATGAACTATGACATAAGGAGCAAGAAAGCATGTCTATTAAGAAGTACTGTATTTCATTTCATTTTATTTTAGATCAGACGGGAAGGTGTTCGTCTCTTCTTGTTATGGTTGCAAGCTCTTCAAGATAACTGCAGCAAAGAACAGCTCTGGATGTTTTCATGCTTAATCCCTGGATTTTCAGCACCACAATCTGAATATGGACCTCGAACTTTAGATAATCTTATTAATCCTCCACTCAACCTTCAAGAAAGTAAGATTGATGAGACGTTATCTATCAGTATGTTTTCTGTAGTTTCTTCTTAAAAATGTGTTTGTTTATATCCATTTTTGTGTGTGCGCAAATGTGTTTGTATTATATGTAGGTGTGTACAAGTGTGCTTGCCCATGCTGGCCACGTGGAGGCCAGACATTGACAGTTGGATAATCTTTCTCAGTTGCTTCTCTGTATTATTGTTATTTTTGAAGCCGAGTGCCTTACTGAGTCTGGAATTCACCTATCAACTGGACTAGCTATCCCTCTACCCCTGCAGTCTACTTGTTTTTGCCCCATAGCTCTGGGGTTACAGGCCATATTTATCTTTTTTTTAATGTGGGTGCTGGCAATCTGATCTCAGGTCCTCATATTTGTTTAGTAGGCATTTTACTGAACATCTCTGCAGCTTTCTGTATAGTTTTTGTTTGTTTTTAATGTCAAATGTCTATGCATGGTATAGTTATCACATGGTATTCTGAGGTAGTGTTTATTTATTTATTTTGTTTTGTTTTGTTTTTTGTTTTTTTGAGACAGGGTTTCTCTGTGTAGCTTTGGAGCCTGTCCTGCACTCACTCTGGAGACCAGGCTGGCCTCGAACTCACAGAGATCTGCCTGCCTCTGCCTCCCGAGTGCTGGGGTTAAAGGTGTGCGCCACCAATGCCCAGCCTGAGGTAGTGTTTATAAAGGTAGGTTTTAGTATTACTTTAGTTTAGTGAGGCCTGCACCTTAAGACAGCTGTTGGAAAAGTAATTTGCCACTTAGTTTCCAAGAGGATACACACCCCATGTCATAGGCCTGGATAGACAATGTGTGTGAGTGATCAGGAGACAGGGGGAGCAGATGTTCATAGGTTATTTCGGGCAGGGTCTTTTATTGTGGTTTCGTGGGAAGAAAGTGGCAAGTCTGTGAAGGTAAGTAAAAATCAGCAGTGTCAATAATGATTTCAGTGGGTTCTGGTACAAAAAGGTAGTCCCTAGTTGTCTAGTCCTTGGTCCTGACGTGATCAAGACAGGAAAATAGTACCTTTGACTCAGTATAGAGGACTTTATGCACATGGACTTTAGACAGAGTGGTTTGTATATGAGAGTTATTATTAGCATGTTAGTCTACTAGCACTAGGAATTAGCCAGCCCTGGTAAGGACATTATCTCTGGTAGCCAAGTCCCAGATATCAGAGCATCTGAATCATATTAAGGTTAATATAGACCAGTTCACATCATGTTTTGTTTTGTTTTGTTGTGTCTGATATATCTCAGGTCTTAAATTCACTATGTAGTAAAAGATGGTCTTAAATATAAGATCTTCTTGTTGGGAGATATTGGGTACTACTCCTGGTTTTAATTTATAATTCTATTTCTTGTTTATCGTTTTGTATGCTGGAATTAGTTTCGATGTACACAGAAATAGAAGTGTGTTTTTCTTTGTGCAGTGACTATAAAATGCTGCATATAAAATTTCTAAATTTAAAGTTGCATTTTAATTTTAAATTTAATTTGTAATTTTAGAAATGTTATTTAATGGCCAGGTGTTGGTGGCGCACACCTTTAATCCCAGCACTCGGGAGGCAGAGGCAGGCAGATCTCTGTGAGTTCGAGGCCAGCCTGGTCTCCAGAGCGAGTGCCAGGATAGGAAGTTACACAGAGAAACCCTGTCTCGAAAAACCAAAAAAAAAAAAAAAAAAAAAAAAAAGAATGTTATTTAACTTCCGTTGTTTTTTTTTTCCATTAGTGAATTTTTGTCCTTTTTAGACCTAAAATTTTCTAATGTTTTTTACTCTTTGTATTATTCTGCTTAAATATCAAAGTAATTTTTTTCTTTTTGTTAAATATCTTCTTTTACTAGTAAGCATGTGTGATATATAGGGCTGCATTAACAAAATACCACAGATTAAGTGGCTTCAGGCAGATGTGTATTTCCTTGAGATTGGAGTCCACAAGTAGATGGTGACAGGTCCGGGTTCTGGTGAACCTTTTCTCAGTCTTCATATACTCCCTTCTCATTGTGTGCTCACAGGGTTTTTTCCCTTAGTGCGTTTGCATGCTTGTGCTTATGCACACAGAGCAAACCCTTTGATGTTTCTTCTCTTCTTATATCCAGTTCTATACATTCAGGGCTGAACCCTAACCCTCATTATCACCTTACAATCTCTCTGTTTAAATGCAGTCACATTGAGGGTTCGTGTTCCAGCAAATGGATCTTGGGGGTACACAGTTCAGTCCATAACTTGTATATTGGATGTTTCATGTAGATTTTTATAGCAAAGCAAACTATACTTGTAGCATAAAATTTTAGAAACAAAAACAAGCTTGCATAAAGTCTGTAAATATACCAGCTTAAGCAGGCCGCTTACATCTGCTTATTTACATACATGGCATTTTGAAGTATTCAGCTAATGTTTCATAAACACTTCCTTTTGGATCACTGCCATCCATCCCGTCTGTAGGTTTCCTTTTGTCTCTATTTTTATTTTTATTTTTTGTTTTTTCAATTGTCTATATTTTTAGAGCTAGCTTTCTTTTTTCTTTTATCTTTTGATTAGTTTCAAATGCATTTTGGTTAACTCTTTTGCATTCTCTTTTTGAGAACCAAGTTCAAACTTTCCTTTAATTTTTTTTTATGTGTATGTATGTGTGCTTACTTGTCTATGTACCACATACATGCAGGTTTCCACAGAGGCCAGAGAAAAGGACTCAGATCTCCTAGAATTGGAGTTTCCGGTGGTTTGTGAGCCACCTGATGTGGGTAAACTGAGCCTGGGGCAAACAAGAGCAGTACACACTCTTAAGTGCTAACTCTTTAGCCCCAAGAGTAGAAGTTTTTCTATTTGCTTTATAGGACAGAAAACACGACCCACGTGTACAGTCCTCTATAGCTACTAAGAAGTCCCTAGGTCTTAAATATCGAAATAACATGCAGTGTATTATTTTAGAATCGAAAAATATCTTGTTGTGGGCTTACTAATTTAGGCAGTAAACCCAGTTACTGATGGTTTTGTTTAGGAAATTTGAGAGCATTTAGCTAACTGTGGGTTCATTTTTTTTTTTTTGCATCAGCATTCATTATAGTGAATTAATATCTGAAAAGTAAAACACAGATTTCTGATGTAATGAATGAATAAGCACCTCACAGTAATTTTTCTCATCATATTGTGGCATTTTGTAATGGACACTCCCAATGTGACTCTTCTCTAGTGAAGTCCATGTACCTACCCTCAGTCACTACATACCTGCTCATGCCTGTTCCATTTCCTCTCAGTCAAGGATTCACAAAAATGCCAGTTGTCAAGTTTACAGTAATTATGGGCTGTCAGGATTATCCTCATGTTTATTTCAACATGTAACTTTTAGAAAAATTTAAAAGCAGTTTTCATTTTGCTTATTTGTGTTGTTAAATTTTATTTGGTCATATTTTTGTATTATGGAGTTTGTCTTATGATTCTACAATTCTCTTGTCTTTGGATAGCTCAAGTAACTATAGAGGAAGTCACCCCTCTTGTTCCCCCGCAGTCAGGAGATAAAGGACAAGAAGACCTCACAAGCTATTTTCTTGAAGCACTTTTAAAATACATAGTAATTCAGGTATGTTACCATCTTTCCACTGCATGGGTTTACTTGGGTACCTAGGATCCAAATTGAGGTCCTCATGCTTACACGGTATGCACTTTACCTTCTGCACCATCTTCCCAGCCCCATGAAGTAGAGTCTTTCATTTATGTTTTGAGACAGGGTCTTACTATGTATTTCTAGTCAAACTGCAACTTGTTATATAGCTCTGGCTGACCTGGTACTCATAGGGGATCTGCCTGCCTCTGCCTCTTGAGTGCTGGGTTTACAGGTGTGTCACCTTATCATGAAGTAGGTTCTAGATGTGGATAACCTCCTTATATGAGCCACTCAGACTTATTTTCTAATCCTTCCATAATAACCAGCAGCTGTGGTACTTAAGTGAAATATGAGTAGCTGTTTTAGGATTAGTCTCTCAAGATGTAGTATGAGGGTGACTGACAGGATAGGGATAGGGGAAAACTAATTTACACATAAACAGTAAGGTAATCTGTTCATCTCTAGATGGGAAATATGTGTGTTCTGGTTAATGAAAACACCTTTTCACATACTTACACTTTTTATAATTATTTGAAATACAAAAGTTCTTTTATCAGAGAAACGGACACTATACTGCTAATATGGATCCTGAGCTAGATTAGGAAGGTTTGAATACTGATTATAATTTTGACTAGTAATGTAGCCTTTGTCAGATTACCTAACTGTTCTGCATTTAGGTTTCCTTAGGAAATAGATAGGAATACTATCTATTCCATTTGAACCTTCAATAGTACACAGTACTAAGAGTAAAAGAGGCACAACACATAGGAAGTGTTCTGTAATGGGCATTTGTTACTGTTATTATTTTGCTTTTAAAAAGTTTATGCTTTGGCTGGAGAGATGGCTGAGGGGTTAAGCGTATTGGCTGTACTTCCAGAGGTCTTGAGTTCAGAACACTAAATACATAGTAAATAAATCTTAAAAAAAAGTTGATACTTCATATGACTTTTTAAAACTGCCTTATAGGTTAATTGAGCTGTAATTACTTATACAATTAATTTTGACTTTACATTATATCATTTTTTGGATCTTTCTTTTTGTATTTTTTTGTATTTGTATCTTTTTGTATTTGTATTCACCTCCTAGCTTATCCTAGACTGGCATCAAATCATAATCCTCCCAACTCAGCTTCTGAAATGCTGAGATTGTAGGTCAGTCATGATTTAAGGCCCAGTAACAATTTATTGAATATTGTTACATGATACCATCACACATTCAGTGTTTGAAGTTTTCTTTGATCCCTTTATAATGTACCCTTGCATCCCTCTCCCAGCAACAACTGATGTGATTTTCATCATATTTCTTATATATTGAATCATACATATTCATTTTTATTCTGGTGTTCTTCACATTATTTTGGGAATCATCCATACTTTTTTATGGATCAATAATTTGTTTTAAACTTTTTATAATTTATTTTTTGAAATTTATTCTTTGAAAATTTTCATATATGTATGCATTGTATATTGATCATAACCACCCCCTACCACCTCCTTTCATCTCTCCTCAGGACCCCTTTCCTGTCTCCCTCCTGATAATTCTTTTTTTCCTTCTCTTTTTCATCATCATTTTCCAGAACCCAGTTAGTGTTGACCATATGTGCATAGGTGTGGGGCCATCTAGAAGACACATTTCCAAAGAAAAGTGACTCTCCCTTCCTCAGCAACCATTGTACCTCCTCTCTGAGGACTGGTCCTTGACAGCTTGTCTCCTACTCATGCTGGAATTTTGAGTGGCTTGATCTTTGCAGGTAGCCACAGCTACTATGAGCTGATTTATACAACAGCCCAAGTCATGACCAGAAGACAGAATTTCACAACTTTTCTTGTAGAATATTAGTTGAAGATGTGTTACATTCATTCATGCTGTAACATATTTGTTTGATGATGCAAAAATGTATTGCATTCTTTATATTTCATTTGTTTAACCTTGTGAAGCTGTGTTACTTTGCCTGCCTAAAACACCTGATTCATCTAATATAAGCTGAACAGCCAATAGCTAGGCAGGAGAAATTATAGGTGGGGCTGGCATGCCAGGCAGAGAGAATAAATAAGAGAAGAAATCTAGGCTTGAAAGAAGAGGGAGGAGTGAGGAAAGGAGAAGGAAGGGATGATGCTGGGGCCAGCCACCCAACCACACAAGCCACCCAACCACACAAGCCACCCAGCCACACAGCCACACAGCCACCCAACCACCCAATCACACAGCCACACAGCCACACAAGCCACACAGCCACACAGCCACCCAACCACACAGCCACACAGCCACACAGCCACTCAACTACACAGCCACCCAACCACAAAGCCACCCAGCCACACAAGCCACCCAGCTACACAGCCACCCAACCACACAGCCACCCAATCACACAACCACACAGCCACCCAACCACACAGCCACATAGCCATCCACTGAGTAAGAAGGAAAGAAACACGCATTGAATAAAGAAAGTTAAAAAGCTCAGAGGCAAAATGTAGTTAAAGAAACATGGTAATTTATGTTAGAAAAGCTGACTGGAAACAAGCCCAGCTAAGGCCAGGCATTCATAAATTAGAATAAGTCTCCATGTATTTATTTGGGAGCTCAGTGGCAGGCCCCCTAAGAGTAAAACAAACTTTCCTTCCCCATCCTTTGGCTTTACATTCTTTCCATTGGCTCTTGTAAGCCTTGGATGAGATATATTTTGATCCATCTATGGCTAAGCATTCACAGTCACTTCTTTTTTTTGGGGGGGGAGGGCTTCGAGGCAGGGTTTCTCTGTGGCTTTGGAGGCTGTTCTGGAACTAGCTTTTGTAGACCAGGCTGGTCTCGAACTCACAGAGATCCACCTGCCTCTGCCTCCCAAGTGCGGGGACTAAAGGCGTGCGCCACCACCGCCCGGCCTCACAGCCACTACTTCTACTTCTACTTCTCCTCCTCCTCCTCCTCCTCCTTCTTCCCTCTTCTTCTGCCCTCTTCTTTCTTTTTCTTTCTTCTTTCTTCTTCTCCATGACTTTAGTTTTCCTTGTTCTTCCTGAATTGTCACACTGCCATTACTTTGATAAAACTCTGTCCTTGGATAAAGAAGCATTTTAATTGAGCTTCTTTTTTTTTTTTTTTTTTCCACAGCCACTTCTTATCAGCACTTTGACCAGTTTCTGAAAAGGAGTTTCTGTATTAACTATTTACTCACTGCAAGAAAAAGCTTTTCTGATCATGATTCAGAGTAGAACAAATGTATGGATGTAAACATCAGTATTTAGAAAAGTTTGACTACAGGACCATTTAGCGAAGCATCACCAGCGGGTTCCTCACTAGGGCCTATGAATTTTCCAGTTGGGATTTTTACTAGGTTTACAGTACGAGACATGAAATCCCTCCTGTGAAGCAGGCCTCTAATCCAACCAGGAAGTAGTTGTTGACTCCCATAACATCGTGCCTGTTATTACATCAGTGGGCATAACTTGCCTGGCAGCTCAATATTATAACATTCAGAGTTCAGTCCTAAATAAGACCATTGGTGTCTCTTTTCCCCCAGCAGCCTTCATTGTGCCTTCCAGAAGTATGTTAGCTAGCCAACAGGAGAAAGTTTTCTGGCCATTTTGAGACTGATCTCTAAATGACCTGTAACCAAAGTGGGTGATGTCTTCAACAGGGTCTTACCATTTTCTTTTTCTTACTGAGTAGATGTTATTGTGCAGATATACTACAGCTACTTACCCTATAATGTTGGTGGGCATTTGGGCATTGAACTCAGGTCATTGGGCTTGTGTGGCAAAGACTTTTATCCAGAGTCATTTTGTCTGCCCTCCTTTCTTTTGAAGAAGAGATATTTTTTAATTTGATGAAGTCCAAGAAACCAAGTTTTTTTTTTTTCTTTCATGAATCAGACTTGCTGCTTTCAAGGAGAAAAATGATCTTGCTGGGAATAATGGCACACTCCTTTAGTTACAACAGTGGGAATAGTGATAAGTGGATCTTTTAAGAGTTGGATGCCAGCCTGGTCTATGTAGTGAGTTCCAGGCCAGCCAAGGCTATATAGCAAGACACCCCCCACACACACACACTCTCTAAAGAATAAAAGAAATAAAAATATTTTTTCTACTTCAGTGTTGCAAAGACATTCTCTTGTGTTTTGCGTCTTACAATTTAATGATTTTTAAAAAATCTCTGTGTCTTTTTCAGTGAATTTGTATATATCTGTAGTGTAGCTCTTGATGCTTTTATTAAGGTAGTGTCTGCTATGCCAGGCTTTTCAAATGTGGTAATACTATTAATAGGATTTTTCTTTTTATAAATCAGTCAATAGGGGGGAAATCCATTCTAATTATATAACCTCCTCTTCAAAATTTTACTCATAGTTTTAGTATCTCTTGACGACTTCTGGCTGAATTTTCCCCCTGAGACAGGGTTTCTCTGTGTAACAACACTGGATGTCCCGGAACTCGATTTGTAGACTAGGCTGGCCTGGAACCCATAGAGATCCACCTGCCTCTACTTCTCGAGTGCTGGAATTAAAGGCATGTGCCACCACTGCCCAGCCATCTCGTTGAATTTTTACTATGATGGTTGCCAACGAGTCATTGTTTAAAGACAGCTTTATTGATCTGTCATGTACATTCAGTCTAGCTGTCACATAGAATGTGCAGTTTAGTGGATGTTTTTAAGGACCATCCTGCTGTCATTATATATAATTTTGAAACATTTTAGTTTCCCCTGAAAAAAAATCTCAAGCCTATTAAGAGACCTCTCACTCCAGTATCACTCATCTCCTGCCCTAGGGAAACACTAATCTATATTTGCTTATCTTAATATTTCAAATAGATTAATTCATTTAGTGAAGTCAGAATGGACTCACACAGTGTATTCTTTTTCGACTGGCTTCTTTTACTTAGCAAATGCTTTACAAATTCATGTTTTAGCATAATCAGTTATTTCTTTTTATTAATTAACTATGTGTATATGCCAAGTGTGCATCCCTTGGGATATTTGAATTTTTCCCCTTTAGCCAACACTGGAAAACAGTCCTGTCATGGTACCTACATTCATGTAGGTCAGGAATTATCTGCAAAGATTTTCTCCCTTTTCTATTTATTTATTCATATAATTGTTTATCTTCATATAAGTTGATGGATTCTTGTGACTTCAAGATGATTTCTATGCATTTTGCATCGTCTCTTATAAAATTATTTTAAAAATATGTTACATTTTTGCTGGGTAGTGATGGTGCACACTCAGGAGGCAGAGGCAGGCAGATCTTTGAGTTCAAGGCCAGCCTAGTCTACAAATTGAGTTCCAGAACAGCCAGGGTTATGCAGGGAAACCCTGTCTTGGGGGAAAAAATTGTTACATTTTTATTTATTTCATTGGAGGAAGGCAAGGGGTGTCCATAATGCAAATGTGGAGGTCAGAGAACAGCTTGTGAGAGTTGATTCTTTTCCTTCCACCATGTGTGTCCTGGGGGATTGAACTTAGGTTGTCAGGCTTGTTGGCAAGTACCTTTACCCACTGAGCCATCTAGCTGTTCCTCAATATAATTCTTTTTGTTGTTGTTGGATTTTTTTTTTCTGTTTTTAAATTTGTTTGTTCTGAGTCAGAGTCTTTGATGTAGCCCTGGCTGTCTTGGCACTTGTGTAGACCATGCTGTCCTTGAACTCCCAGTGTTTCACCTGTCTCTGCCTCTTGAGTGCTGGTATTAAAAGTACACCACCACAACCTGCTTTAGTTACAGTTTTATCTTGTACTTTCCTTGGCCCACTCTGAAGATTTGTGCTTAGAATCCAGTATCTAGGTACTTGGATACTCATTACTATCAGTGCCAAGTGTTGGTATTTCTGGAATCTCTCTCTCATTTTTTAAAGCTTATTTATTTTTATGTGCATGAATGTCTCTATGAAGATGTCAGGTCCTCTAGAACTGGAATTACAGACAGTTGTGAGCTGCCATGTGGGTGCTGGAAATTGAACCCAGGTCCTCTGGAAGAGCAACCAGTGTTCTTAACCTCTGAGCCACCTCTCCAGCCCATTCTGGAATCTCTTAAAGACTAAAGTTAAAGAATTAATATGTATACAGATCTATCCCCCTTTCTCCATCCTTCTCTTTGTGACAATCTTGTCTCATATTCTCAGTATATTATGTAGTTAGCCTTCTTAAAGTAATCATATTTACCCACATCACCATTTGCATGCTTTGCAGACATTCTCCTTAACTTGGCTAGGTTCCAATAACTCACCTTGGACCTTTGCAAACTCCTCTCTTGGGTATCCTTCTCATTTTCCTGGAAGTCTACAATATTTTTACTCTGTGTCCTCCTGTTCTTCTACTCCACACTGCATGAACAATCTTTGTACATATCTCAAGCTCAAAGTCTTCACTGAGCTGCTTCCTTTAATGTATACCCTGCTTCCTGTTCTTAGACTTTGATATCTACTACCATTGTGAACACACATGCACACGTACACACACACACACACACACACACAAACATACTCCTTCTCAGTCACATATACCTTCGTCTCATTTATTCAGGAAGGGATAGTGAGAAGAGAACATTAGTATATTCGTCATTAATATGGCCAAATGAGTCATTTTTATAATCTTGCAATATACAATTTAGTGTAAGATATTTTAAATATATGTAATATATTTTATATAGGCCAATTTTAAAGACTAGGTTATAATTAAAGCATATTATATGTGTATGTATGGAAATTGTATAGTGAAAGCACTTTGTACATTATAATACATGTTTGTATTATACAAACACTTTGAACATGATAATAAAAATGAAGAATGGAATTTTGCTGTATATTGTGATCCTCATAGTCAGTTTATCATAACCTCTATAGGCTTGCTTATAACAGCAAGACTGTATTTTAAGAGATTCTGTCTTCTGGGATGATTCTAACAGTGTTGTTTATTTTTAGGTAAAAAGTTTAGAATGGAAAAACAAAGAAAACCAAGAAAGGGGATTTTCATTTTTGTTTTCACATTTTAAGAAGTTTTACTTGCCTTATATTTTCCCAAACATCTGCAAGGAGAATAGTTTATATCATCCTGTACTTGGTAGGTATAATTTATAATTTTTATATAAAAGCACACATAATAATAAAATGTCAGTGTAAAGTTGGCATTTGTTGTTTACATAAAGCTAACCGATCACATTTACTGTTTGTATTGATGCTATACCCAGATTTACAATGAACATGCATTTATGAGAATGGAAAGATTTCATGAAAATCTTACTCTCTGGATCTTATCCATTAGAGTTAGCAGTAGCTTAAATTGAATTTTAATGTTTCTCTGATCATTAGTGTGTGTGTGTGTGTGTGTGTGTGTGTGTGTGTACTTTTTCTTTTCTTTTTTCAATTTTGAGACAGAGAGTTAGTAAGCTGCCTAGGTTGGCTGAAACTTGGTACCCAATAACCTAGACCCAGACTGGTCCCAGACTTGTGATCTTCCTATCTCAGCTTCCTGAGTGCTGGGATTACAGGTGTGTACCATCATGCCTGACTTTAAACTATATATTATGAATTTTTTCCCTAAGATTTCACAAGGGTTCAACCAACAATCAAATTGTATAAATAGTTAATTGTTAAATCTTTTTGTCATTTCTTGTCCAAATTTTAGTGGTTCTGCCAGTTGACCTGGTGGAGGCTTGCAATAGAACCTTGGGTACAAATCTGGAGTAGAGGCAGAACTGGGCAATCCATATATGAAAAGAAGAGATAAATCTGTATGCAGAAAGTTTATTTTGAAGTAGGATGTTCCTCATAGCAAATTCAGACAACTTGCAGGATCAGGTGTTGCCATCATGACCATCTCCTTGATTGCTTTTTGTTGTTTTTGTTTTGTTTTGTTTTCAAGAAATGATTTATATGTGTAACAGCCCTAGTTGTCCTGGAACTTGCTCTGTAGACCAGGCTGGCCTTGAACTCAGAGATCCGCCTGCCTCTGCCTCCTGAGTGCTGGGATTAAAGGTGTGCGCCACCACCACCCAGCTCTTCTAGGTTCTTAACTAACATCAAACAATATAAAATGATTTTTTCTTTTTTTTACTAACATTTCTAAAACCAGTGTAGTTTCAGAATATACTCTGTAAGAGTTTAAAAGTGTAGGCTTAGCTAAGGGTAATTGATTTTTTCATTTTATGTTTTGTTTTCAATTTTTCACATAGATATCCCACAGATCAGACCAAAGCCTCATTATGTGATGATAAAGAAGGATGCTGAAACCAATGAAGCAATATATTGTACAAAAGAGCCTTTCATCCAAGCTCGGGTTATTGTCATTCGTTGGCTGGTTTCTTTCTGGCTGGAGCCAAAACCACATTCAGGACCTAATATTCCTGGGATGGAAGGTGAAGTCTTGCCAAAGAATATTCAGGTAATATACAAATAAAGCAAGGCTGTTAAAGTTAGAAATGGCTTCCTGAGTTCATCTGCCTTAGGTACACAGCGTATTTAGAATGGATGTTAGTGATGGGTTATTTGAATAAATCTATCTCATAACTCAAACTTTTTTGTTTGGTTTTCAAGACAGGGTTTCTCTGTGGCTTTAGAGGCTGTCCTGGAACTAGCTCTTGTACACCAGGCTGGTCTTGAACTCATAGAGATCCACCTGCCTCTGCCTCTCAAGTACTCAAACTTTAACTATTATTGTAGAAGTAGTAGTAGCTGGGTGGTGGTAGCACACACCTTAAATCCTAGCACATGGGAGGCAGAGGCAGCCTGATCTACAGAGTGAGTTCCAGGATAGCCAGGGATACACAGAGAAACCCTGTCTTGGTAAACAAACAAACAAACAAACAAAAAACAAAACAACACAACAAAAAAACCCATCGAAAGTAGTATTAATTTCTTAATAGAAAATAAAGCTTTTATAATAAATACCTAAAAAAACATTTTTAAAGAAAAGAAAGCTTGAGGGATATAGAAGATAATTTTAAACATGTATTACTCTTAGGTTCCAATTTATCTCAGTAGTTTAATAGTAATGATAGTCTTCTTTACTCACAGAGTATAGGTTTGGAGATCCATTGGAGATTACTGAAATTGAAGATAGTACTGGCCCTTTGTATGATGTTTTCCCCTATTCAGTGTATGTTTAATTTAACTCTAGTTCTCATGCTTGCACCATAATCAGTTTACCTACTGACTTATCTTCCAACCTCATCCTTTTTATTTTCTAAACATTCACAGAATACAGATTTGAAGTCTGACCCAAATCTCTCCATTATTAACAGACATTGAGCCTAAAAATATAATAGGAAGTTACATAGCTATACAGTGGAGAAACTACGATTTTAAATTATGTTGTTGTTTTGTTTTTTTAATTGAACAGTTTATTTCATCCTTACCCTTCTTTTTCAAGTTCTCTTTTCCCCTAATACTGTGCTTTCTCTGACGTGTTTGTGTGTGTGTTCACTGAGTGATGCTATTTATTTGAATTTAATGTTTTCACAGACTTAAATATTAAATCTTTATTTCCTTTCTATAAATTTAAGCAATTTTATTGAAAATACAATGTATTTTGATCCTGTTTTTCTCTTTCCTGCTTCCTCTTAGATCCTTCCCACCTCTCTATCCACCTAATTATATGTTCTTTCTCTTTAAAACAACCCCCCCACACAAAAAACAAAACAAGAAATACTCATACCCACAAAAATGAAAATAAAAAACAAGTAGATGACCAATAAGATTTTAAAAAAAAAGCAAAATGAGACAGAAAGTCTATAAAAATGCCATTGAATTTGTTTTGTATTGCCAATTCCTTCTGGCCATGGAACATTCCCTGAGGTGTGGCTGATACATCCAGTGAGAGTCCACTGGAGAAAACTGATTTTTTTCCCCCTTTGTTAGTGGGTATCAGCTGCAGATAGCTTCTTGGTTAAAGGTGGGATCCCATGTCCACTTCCACCCAGCAGGGCTGGGTTCCCATCTGGCTTGAATGTGCAGGTATTGTACATGGTTTCACAGTCTCTGTGAGTACATAAGTGCATCAGCCCTGTGAAATAAATAGCCTGATGCTGTTTACTTGTCAGTTACTTACTCATTCTTAAAGACCTGAGCTTCCTCTGTTTGTGACTATGTGCTGAAAGTTTTTTCATATGGGCTTAATTGAATCACTTCAATTTAATTACAGGTAAGTGGATGATTTGTTACTACACTTTTGAGCTTTTCTGTCACTTAGGTGTTATTTGCATTTATGCTTAATTATTCAGCATGGATTCTAAGTATAATTGTATATTGGCCTTGGGATATGCCAATATTTACTAAAAGCAAAACATTTAAGTTGAGTGATAATGATATTCTTTGACTTTTGTTTTCATTTTAGAGAGCAGCTGCTAGTTTGGTATCCAGAGAAGAAAACAAAAATGATAATGTTGATAAAGCAGACAAAACTACAGAGCCAGAACAATCTCATTCTAATACAAGCACTCTCACAGAGCGAGAACCTAGCTCCTCTAGTCTCTGTAGCATTGACGAAGAACATCTCACAGACATTGAAATTGTTCGAAGAGTGTTTTCATCTAAAAGAAGCAATGTAAACTTTGTCACAGAGATATTTCGCCAGGTAAAATACCTATGAACATTTTTAGATTGTAATGAAAATTTGTCATTATTACTGGATATATTGATTTTTAGCTATTTAAAATTGATCCTAAAGTTAATTTTAAGTTTCTTAAACTTACATGAAAATCATTAAAATTTTCCCTTTATCCTCCTATTTCCTGGTTGTTGGTTTCTTCTCAAAGTGAGACAGAGATTTGTGCATGCTAAACACATGCTCCACTGGAGTTGCATCCTCATCATTCCTTTTTTCTCCCCTTCATATTCCCTGTGACACCAAAATAATTTATAATTATTCACTGTGTGTCTTAGTTAGGATTTCTGTTGCTGTGATAACACCATGACACCAAAGGTAACCCGGGGAGGAAAGGGTTTACTTACAGTTCATTGGCCATCAACCAAGAAAAGTCAGAGCTGAAACTCAAAACAGGAATTTGGATGCAGGAGCTGATACAGAGGCCTTGGAATTGATACTTACTGGCCTGTTCCTCATGGCTTGTGCTCAACTTGCTTTCTTATGTTTTAGGAGTGGCACTGCCCAATTGAGCTGTGCCCTCCATATCAATTATTAACCAAGAAAATGCAGCACAGGTTGTTCACAGGCCAGTTTGGTACAGGTATTTTCTCAATTGAGGTTCCTTTTTTCCAGGTGACTTTGGCTTGTGTGAAGTCAACTTAAACTGGTCGGCACACTGTGGTAGTTAGTTTAATTGTCAACCTGACACAACTTGGAATTATCAGGAAAGAGAATCTAAGGAATGGTCTAGATCAGGTGGCCTGTGGGCATGGGGGATTGTTTTGATTATAATTAATTACTATGGGAACCATCAGCCCCATGTGTACATGATTCTTTGGGCTAGTGTACTGAACCATGAGGTAGTAAAGAAAGAGGTCAGTACTGGAAGTATGCATGTTTCTTTTCTTTCTGCTCCTGACCGTGCTATGAGTAACTGTTAAAGTTCTTGCTGCCTGACTTTCTTAACAGTGATGGACTGTACCTGAAATTGTTAAGCTAAAATCAACCCTCATTATGACATTTTCATAAACATTTCAGCCATAGTCCCCATTTATTCTCTTTTGTGCCCCTCCCACTTCAGCTAACCCTCTTCTCAACTAGCTCTCCTTCTCATGTCTAGTTTCATTAGGGTTTTTTGTTTACAGGAGTGTGGGTCCCTTACCAGTGGCTATACTACTGAAGAAAATGTTTCTCCCTCCCGCATCAACCCTTTATTGTGTATAAATCTTCAGAGCAGGGTGGGGGCCCATGAACCCTTTCCTGCTCCATGACAGGATGTTGACCTCATGCAGATCTTGTGCAGGTACTCGTGGCTGCTGAGAATTAAGGAGTCTGACAACCATGGCATGCCTGGAAGTCAGTGTTCCACACCTTTCTACCTCCTGGGTCCAGCTCTTACATTCTTTTTTTTTTTTTTTTCTTTTTTCTCTTTTATTAGTTCAAATTAGGAACAAGCTTGCTTCAGATGTCAATCCCTTCTCCCTCTCCCCCACAACATCACACCTGCCCCTAGCCATACCCTCTCCACTCCAAAGTCTAGGTAAGGCCCTCAAAAGGGGCTCCCCAAAGTCTACCACATCATCCTGGGCCAGGCCTAGGCCCTTCCCCATGTGTCCAGGTCAAGAGCCAGCTCTTACATTCTTTCTGCCCTCTTCCTGAATGTTCTCCGAGGGGGTGTTATAGATTCACATTATACCTGGGCATTCAATAGTCATTTATTCCCTGACCTTTGACTAGTTATGAATCTTTGCAGTCATTGTTGACCTCTGCACAAAGAAGCATTTCTGACTACCCTAACAGTAGTACTAATCTATGGGTATAAACATAGTTATTTAAAGAGTAATTTCAGGACCAAATGTGGTGGTTCATGACTTTAATTCCAGAACTCAGTAAGTAGAGTCTGGCAGGGCAGACAGAGGCAGGTGGATCTTTCTAAGTTTGAGGCCAGCCCAGTCTAATGAGATCCTGTCTCCCAAAGGGAGGGGGGGTAATTTGATAGACACATCTTCTCTATTTACCAAAATGACAGCAATAGCTTCCCCTCTAGAGCTTGTGCCTTCCCTAACCTAGGCATTTGAGCAGGTTTACAATGACAGATGTGAATGTCCTCCTGTGGAGCAGGCATCAAACCCAAATAGAAAGCGATTGGTTACTCACAACAGACTTTTCACGGTTCTAGCAGTGAGTTTATCTTGACATTTGTTCTTTACTCAGAACCCTAAGTTATTTTCGTGAGATCTCTCAGGTTATTTAATACAGGAAGTTAGAGCTCCAGACTTTCCTTTAGGATTGCTTTTATTGTGTCTTAGTAGCTCTTTATTGTGTTTTTGTTTTCTGGAAATTTCTTAATTTCTTCAAGGACTCATTCCTCTTTTAATAGAATGGTGTTTAATCTCCATGAGTATGTGTTCTAGGGTTGTTCTTGCTGTTGATTTATATATAGTTTTACTCCATTGTGATCAGATAGGATACCAGAAAATAGTTCAGTTGTGTCCTAATATATGATCTTTTTTGGAGAATATTCCAAGGGCTTCTGAGAAAAATTTATATTTTGCATGGAATATATATTTGGATAGAATAGTCTGAAGGTTTCTGTTAAATCCATTTGATATATGATGTCATTTAATGCACATGTTTCTGTCTAGATGAGTTATCAGTAGGTAAGAGTAGGATATTGAAGTAACCCACAACTGTAGTCCTGAAGTTAATATGTGACTGTACATCTAGTAGTATTTGTTTTGTGAAATGGGTATGCCTGTTCTTGGGACATATATGTTGAGCATTATGATATTTTCTTTATGGTTTGCTTGCTCAGTCGCATAAAGTTACATTCTTATCTTTTCTCATTAGTTTTGTTGTGAAGTCTACTTTGTCAGATGTTATAATGACATCTGCTTGTTTCCTAGGTTCATTTGCTTGGAACTCCCTTTATATCCTTTTATCCTAAGATAGTGTCTATTTTGTGTGTGTGTGTGGAAATTGAGAACATTAATATTCAGAGTCTTATTGAATGCTGTGTACTGATTCCTGTCATTTTGTTGATTTTTGTAGTGTTTTGTTTTTTCCTTTCCTGATTAACTATTATTCTTGTGTGATATATTTCCTGTGGAGGGGTTGTTTGTTTTTTCTTTTTAGTCTGGATCATTCCTTTAAAGTAACTTCTATAGAGAGACGGCTTAATGGTTATAAATTCTGTTAGCCTGTTTTTATCATGGAAAGCTATTATGAGCACTCTTTCCTGCCAGCCTGGTTCTGCAGCTGCCTCAGCCCCAAATAAGCTCATGGATGCTATATTAGTTACAAAGAGGTTGGCTGGTGACTAGGGCTAGCTCTGTCTTAATTATTAACCCATTTCTATCAATCTATGTATTGCCACGAGTCTGTGGCTCATCCAGTTACTCCTCTGGCAGCATCCGGACTCTGCCTGGCTGGCTCACTTTGCCTACCTTTCCCAGAATCCTCCTCCTCTGGTAGCCCCGCCTATCCTTCCTGCCTGGCCACTAGCCACAGAGTGTTTTATTCATTAACCAATAAGAGAAATATATACACAGAAGGACAATCCCATCAGAAAGTTTTTACTTATTCTTCTACTGTGACAGTTTTGCTCAGTCTGGCAGCATTTGTGGGTTACCAATTGACTTTTAAAGCTTGAAGTGCATCTTTCTAGTACCTTCTACTTTTCAAGTTGAAGTTGACAGATCTGCTTTTATTCTGATAGATATGTGTAACTTGATGTTTTTCTCTACCACTTTCAATATGCTTTCTTTGTTCTGTATATTTAGTAGTTTAGTTAGAATTCAAGGGGAAGTTCTTTCTGGCCTTACTGTTTGGTGTCCTGAATGCCTGCTTTATATGGATGGGCATCTCTTTCCTAACTCTAGGGAATTTTCTGTTTGATTCTTTTGAAATGTTTTATGTCTTTAAAATGAAGTTTTTCCCCTATGCTCATGACCTTTAGACTTCGTGTTTTCATGATGTTATATGAGTCTTGGAATTCCAACTTGTACATTTTTATTACCTTAATTTTGCTCTTACTGGGTTGTTCTAGTTCCTCCATCTTGCTTCCAGCTCAGTTATTTTTTTTTCTCCTTCATCTATTCTGTTGGTGAAACTTTGCACAGAACTTTTAATATGACTTACTATTTTTCATTTCCAGCATTTCATACTTCTTTTTCTTCAGTGTCATTATGTTGAATTCTCCTTTCATACTTCACATCATCACTCCTATTTTATTCAACTGTCCGTGTTCTTTATCTGTAGCAAATCTTTTATGAAGCACTTTAGTAGTAATAATTCTGAACACAGCCTTAAGTGTAAGTTTATAAAATATAGCTTACTATGAAAAGTTATATTTATATTGAACTTTGCAAGAGTAAAGTTTCATGAAACAAAGAATATTACCATTTAGAAGTAATGCAATTAAAACAAATCTTAGTTCCTTCTGTTTGAATAGCTATCTACTGTATTTCTCTTTCAATGTAGTTATAAAATATTTGGAGATAAAAGGCCTTTTGTGCCTGTGGTGGTGACACACGCCTTTAATACCAGCACTTGAGAGGCAGAGGCAGGTGGATCTCTGTGAGTTCAGAGCCAGCCTGGTCTGCACAGCACTAGTTCCAGGACAACTAGCTATACAGAGAAACCCTGTCTCAACACCTCCCACCCCCAAAAAAGTTTTTTTCTGAGTTGATTAATAGTTAATGAATTAAGTTTGTGAAATTGTTTATATCCCCATTGTGTAAGATGAGAAATATATTAATATGTTTGTGGCAAAATAAAAGTATCATTTTTCCCTTTTTCCTATTTACTAGGCATTTTTATTACCAATTTGTGAAGCAGCAGCTATGAGAAAAGTGGTGAAAGTGTATCAAGAATGGATTCAGCAAGAGGAAAAGCCTTTGTTTATGCAAGAGCCTGAAGAACGTGTGCTTACTTCTTCAGATATACCTTGCCTCGAAAATGTCACAGACCAAGACATTTCAATAGAAGATGGAGAAAAAAGAGAAGAGGTAAAATTGTAAGATATATATGTTTTAGTGTAAGTTCTGTGTTGATATGAGTATGTTTAAAAAGTTAAAGGTACCTTTCAGTATATTTGCATTTCTATCACTGTATTTTCTTCAGTACTTTTCTGCAAAACTCTGTGACGTCACAGTTTTACTTGATTTTTATTTTGGTGTCACAGGCTAAAAGCAAAAAATGAAAAAAATATTGAAACTTTATTTATTTATTTATTTATTTATTTATTTATTTATTTATTTATTTATTTGGGTTTTTGAGACAGGGTTTCTCTGTGGCTTTGGAAGCTGTCCTGGAACT